TGTCTTAAGAGGCAAATCAGCTGAGTGTCATGTTCTGTTCTCTGACCCTCCCCCCATTAGGTTCTTGACTCTTTAAATCTCCAAATTGTGTCCGTAATACTACAAGAAGCTCTGTTGGTTTCTCTGCCTCTTCAGCAGCAGCCCTTTCTTGGCATTTTGTCCAGACTTTCAGCCTCTTGCCATGCTCTCAGGATGGGCAGATGCCCTGAGAGATAAATAAGCTACTGGAGAAATGTTGACTCATCTCTTATCTCCTCCCCAGAATCTTGTCTCCTCAAGGCCTGATTGTCCCTGCAGCTCTGATCCCTTTAAAACAGGTTTTTATTGTTGTTACATTTTTTCTCAGCTGGAGTATAGATTTGTTGCTATCCGTCTCCATTATAACTAAAAGTAGAAACGTAATCTTAAAAAAAGTTTAACAAAACAGGTCTGACACAGGAGATACTATGAGAGGATAGGAAAGTACACCCTTTCCTCACTTACCGACATGCTCAGATTCCAAAGACCAGGTGATTATGCAGAATCGGTGTTATGTAAAAACGGAGGATGACCACATCAGATCACAAAATGGAGCATGACTACATTATAATGTAACTTCCAAATTATATCATTACATAACTGCCAAACCACTGAGAATCACGGCCCAGCTAAGTTGACACATAACTTTAATCATCACAGCCAGCGTTACACACCTTGGCATTTGTTCTTACCATACGTACGTTGTTAATGGGCAAAATAGTTGGATAGTAGTTTTTTTACTATTGTTGTAAATGTGAAATGTTGAATAATGAGATAGTTGATAAGTGAGGAGAAGGTGTACTTAGCCCAACTTGCATTGTGTTTTGGGGGAAAAGTGTTTTGAGAGAGGGGTGGTGGTGGTGATGATCATAGGAAAAAAAAACTCTTGAAGGATAAATAATGAGGTGAAAGAGGAATGTGTTCCAATCAGAAGGAACGACATGAGCAAAAGAGCAGTGATGTAAAATACGTGGCAGGGGCAGGGAAGAACTGTAAATATTTAAGAACTAGTGTTTCCAATATGAAGTTCAAGGCAAAAAGTGATAGAAGGTGAGTGAGGCTAGGGAAGTGGGTCTTAGAAGGTTTTGTATACCATGCCTGAGGGATTGCACTTCATATTTTAGGTAATGGTGAACTTTTTTAGAGTTTAAAGCTGGAGAGGAATTGTGTTTTAATGATCAGACTAGCAGCATGTGGAATATAAAGCTTTATGTTTTATCATGTTCAATCTGTCCAGTAATAAATTCTTTTGCGGATTAGTTGTTCAACCAACTTACTGAATCCTCTTAACTCTGAGCAATCCCTGTGAGAGAACAAATCTCTTGATGAAGTCAGGAAATACTGTTGAGGACATTCCTTTTTGATTTATTTCAGATTAATGAGAATAGGATTTCATGTTTGAATTGATTTGAAAAAGTAATCTTAGAATCAGTATCATTTCACTAAGAGTAGGCCTTATCAAAATAATAGGTTTTGTTGTTATGTTTAGTTTGGGCTGGTGATGATAATACTGACCATGTAGGAGTGCTTCTTTGACCCTATTCTTAAACTTCAATTTAGGATATATTAAGGTTCAAAGATACTGTCATGATCTCTTAATTACTAATGTATAATATTTAAAACAATTATTCATATAAAGTTTCACTGATTAATTTTTCTGGCATCATTAGATCATCTAGTATTTTGAGAGGTGGGAAAGGAAAAACTAATATTTGAAACTAACGTTGAATTTGCATGTTGTGTGTGTGCTTTACATAAGTTATACCAGTTAGTTATCATACACTATGGTAATCTCCACGTAACTGTGTTCTTCTGTTATACACATACAGCGCATTATGCCTATCTTTTGTGGCACTTCTTAAAATTGTATGTTTGTGTTACTTGTTTAATGTCAGACACCAAATAATGCCATTATTTTATGTAATCTGTCATTTGGGGACTTTCTTTTCCCACACCTGGCCCCCCACCCCCACCCCATGCATCTGTGACCTGGAGATGGAGGTAGTGGCGTTCTTGCTCCCATTGCTACTGGAGATCACTGTTTCTTTCACCTCCCTAAAAGTCTCCCCAGTTTCATCAGATTATATCACCACCTTCTCCTTGTGTGAATTACTTTTCCTTGTTGATTTGTTTGGCTGGCTTACTTAGCTTGACTTTTCCTTATTTGTTTTTTGCATTTTAGATAAAGGTTCATCTTCATAGGAATTTAATTTCTCTTGAATGCTTACCTCTCTAATCTGGAAGTTCTGTGGCTGCCTTCACTTGGCCCCAGGAGTCTTTAGTGGCCCTTAGTCTAGAACTGGTCTTAAAGTAGCACCTCACAGCTCCATGGAAACATGGGATACTGTAGAACCAGTGACTGTACTACTAGCTGCTTGACCCAGGTCTGCTTCCTCTCACCTTCCTACAGAAGCCATAGCCCTGGGCTGTGGTGTTTTGCCACCTTTTTTAGACTCTCTTTGTGAGAGGAGAATCTAACTCTTGGTTTGACTCCAGTTTCTTGTGTCATGTTGGACAAAAGTCTCTGCGGGACATAAATCTCCTGCTACCCTGTGCACTTAGAGCCTGTCTAGCCCACAGCTTCAGTCCCATGAACTGCCGTGTGTTTCTGTTCCCGTTTTGATTTATGGAATTGTTACCTTGTTTTTGAGCACAGCTGTGACTCCTGAGTTTTCTTTTTTATAGAGATTTCTAAAATGGTTTATAGCTCCTTGCCTTGTTAAACAGAATATAGTGAAAGTTCAGTGAACTATTGTGGCACAGTGGTTAAAGTGCTCGGCTGCTAATCGAAAGGTCGGTGGTTGGAACCCATCAGCTGCTCAGCGGGAGAAAGATGTGGCAGCCTGTTCCTGTAAAGATTTACGGCCTTGGAAACCCTGCAGTTCTGTTCTGTCCTATAGGGTTGCTATAACTCGGAATTGACTGGACGGCAGTGATTTTTTTTTTTTCTTTTAAAATGACTTAAATAAATTACTATAGCATCTGTATTAAAATGTGAGCTGTTCACCTCTTTGCCTTGTACCAAATAGGTAGGTGTTACTACTACTTTTCTTCATTTTTATTGACTTTGATTTCTAAGCGTATCAGTTTTAAGCAGTCTATTCCACATACCTTGATTTAATTTGTAAGTTTGAGGAGCTTAACATAAGTTAGTACTTTGAGGTTGATATTATTCTTATCTTTCAGAGTAAAGTTTAAAAAGGTGGCTCTTTCCCTTGTCTCACAAATGATAAAGTGACAAGCTTTAAAGCAGTGGTGGTGTGGGGGTTAGGCACAGGGCTGCTAAACAAAAAGTGATTCGAACCCACCAGTTGCTGCTTGGGAGAAAGATGGGGCATTCAGCTTCCATAAAAATTTACAGCCTTGGAAACCTTATGGAGCAGTTCTTCTCTGTCCTGTAGGGTTGCTCTGAGTTGGGATCAACTTGATGGCAATGGGCTTTTATTTTTTTACTCTTAAGTTTTGTAGCCACCGTAAAGAAACAACACATTGCTTCTGTTCTAGTCCTTGTTCATTGCATAGTGCCTGGGATCTTAAATGCTTGCAAGCAGCCATCCAAGGCACAACAGTTGGTCTCTATTCACCTGAAGTAACAGAGGAAGAAGAAGAGTGAGGAATAGGGGGAGGAAACGGAACATGTGGCTCATTGCCTCCATGAACTTGCCTCCTTTGCCGTGAGATCAGAGCTGGATGGTGCCCAGCTACCATTACTGAACATTTTGATCAAAGATTCTATAGAAGAATCTTGATCAAAGGGGGGGAAATGTAGAACAGAATATCATATTCTTATGGAATCCAGCATTTCTGTAGCCATGGAGGTTGGATGAACCCCTGAAACTATTGCCCTGAGATAATCTGTAAACCTTAAACCAAAAATATTCCCTGAAGTCTTCTTAAAACCAAACAGTAGTTTAGCTTGACTATTTAAGAATGTCTGCCTTGAGCATTGTGCTCTTAAGATCTGTCTATATGGGATCAAATTGACAACAGCAACTTGAAAGGTGAGACAGGAAACCAAGGGGCGGTGAGTTTATGTTCATGGAGGAGGATCAACTCGGAAAAGGAGTCTGAGAATGCTTGCTTAACCGGAAGAATGTAATCAGTGTCACTGAATTGTACATGTAGAAGTTGTTGATTTTGTGTATGTTCTGCTGAGTGCAGTCTCAACAACAGCAAAAATAAAATATATAAAAATAACAACTAGTAGTACTTAACGCTAAATGAAACAGATCCTTATGAGTACTATTTCTGCCAGGTAAACATCATTATTGCTTTAAAGTGTGTACCTTCTAAAAAATTAAACCTATACCCAACAGTTAATATGTAGGAAGATTAAAACTACAATTATGTCTTTTTGTGTTTGTGGAATAATCTTTCCAAATAGTAATTTAATTCAGGTTAATTGCCCCTTCAGTTTTCTCTCATCATATTTAACTGTGTAACTCATCTGTTGTCCCTGATATCTTCTATTTATTCCTGTTGATTTTAGTTTTGTGTTTAATGGGCCATCATTCTGTTCTCATACTACATTTATATTTCCTAGGAGAAATTAATGGCGATCTGCTGCCTTAGAAATAAATTCACTGTATTATCTCATTCTTCACAGATGGGAAAACTTAATTCCAAAATTACTATTGAATAATGGTGTTACCTATTTTTAAAATGTTATATTCCCAGAACACCTCAGTTTAATTAATGTGTATAGATATTTGGTAAGATGACATAGTGAAGATTTTATTAATAAAAGAGTAGGAGAATTTGGATATAGATGTTAAATGCCATATCCAGTGCATAAAGTTTTATCTTCATTTATCTCAAGTTGTTAGATTTTTGAATAGCCTTAAAAACATTTTTTTTAACATATAAACACATATTCCATAGAATTTGCTAACCTTTTAATGAGAGAATTCTAATAAACACACTCTTAATGATAACTTGAAGCACTGCTTGTTCTATTTTTATTTTATTTTTTTTTCTTACAGAATGTTTCTCCATCCCAGAGAGATGAAGTGATTCAGTGGCTGGTCAAACTCAAGTACCAGTTCAACCTTTACCCAGAAACATTTGCTTTGGCTAGCAGTCTTTTGGACAGGTTTTTAGCTACTGTAAAGGTAAATGATTTAAGATACCCTTACACACAGTGTCTTGTTTGAAGGTTTATATGCTAAACCAGGGGCTATTAGTAAGCATTCTATAAAGTGGAAAGAAATGGAAAATCTCCCTGTAGATTGTGGGTGTACCATAATAAGACCTGGAGTCTTTTGCCATGTAAGTTTTCAGGAGTATTTCTAGTTGTATTCTTTAATTTTCTTTTGCTATAAATATTTATAATTTATACTAAGTATTGATAATATATTTAACTTATGTGATTTTTAATGTCTTGATTTTAATAGAAACCATATAGCATTGGCAGAATGTTTAGTCATTTTCTAACAGATTGGTGTGCTAGATGTAGACGATAAATTAGAAAAGTATAAGCCTTTTGCGTATTTTTCTCTATCACTACTTATTTACTGAATCCATAATGTGTGGTTCTCTGCAATACACAGATACTTTTTAGGGGTGTACATTTGGACGAGAACAAGATGAACTGAACAACTTCAGTATATTTTTGTTGAATGGTAGTGTGCAAATACATAAGTTTTTTATTGTCCCTATTGGTATAATATATCATTGGTTATGTTATGCAAAATTGGTTATAGTAGGCCTTCAACCGATTTAAAGCAGAAAGTTAGCATTTATTTAATGGCAAGAATGAAAGAGTAGAAAAGCAGATTCAATTATAGTCATTTGTATGCTGAGAAATATATAAACTGGGGAACTAAATATAGTGTTGAGGATACTATAGTATTTGTTATTAGGTATAAAAAAATAGAAGCTAAAGAATTATGGAGTGGAAGAATTTGGATAGCCATTCAGTTACCTTTTTATATTTCAAATTTCTACTTTTAAGAGACTTACCAAACCCATTGCTGTCAAGTCGATTCTGACTCCTAATGACCCTGTCGGACAGGGTAGAACTGCCCCATAGAGTTTCTAAGGCTGTAAATCTTTACAGAAGCAGACTGCCACATCTTTCTCCCACAGAGCGGCAGGTGGGTTTGAAGTGCTGACTTTTGGTTAGCAGCCGAACGCCTAACCACTGTACCGACATGCCTCCAAGAGACTTACAGTACCTTTAATGTTAATGATGGTAATAGCCTGAAATCTAGGTTATCTGAGATGCCTACTTTTATCTCAGCATCAAGTCCCCTCTTCCTCCCTGTTCCCCTACCACAGCTAAGCTACTTTTCACAGGTAATTTCAGAGAAAGATGAGCAAAGTTGAGTGTCGTATATTCAAAAAATTAACTTATTGTTGTAGTTTCTATTATAAAAAAGACTCATATTCAGTTTATTGTTTTAAACAAATTTGGGGAAGCTTATGGGAACAATTAGAGAATTTTGCCAAATCTCATTTTTCCATATTTCATATTTATCAGGTTATGACATGTTTATCAGCATCAGATACCCTTACTTAGAGATGGCAAATACATAGGGATTGTCCGTTTAGATCAAGATAATTAAAGTAAAATGTATTCATAGCTTAAGTAAAGGCTCTTAAAGGTCTGCAACAGTGAATGGAGTCTCAATCCTAGCTGTGCAAAATAAGTCCATATACAGCTCTTTAAAATTACAGAACCTGGGCCCTATTCCAGACTTTCTGAATCTGAGTCTCTAGAAGGTAAGATCTGGATGTCTCTACTTAAAAGAAGCAAGAACAAACTACACAGATGATTACGACGTACAGCTAGGATTGAGAACTGTTTGTTTAAAAAAAAAAACACATTTACTGTATGATTCTTTTTATTACTAAATTTATAATTGGTACTCTTGATTTAGGGGTGGAGGTTGGGGGTTGCATTGCCTACCTAAAGTTGTTATCTGTTAGGCTCTTGCTTTGTAATGAACTTAGGTGACTTCAGGGATGAGGGTTTCAGATAAACTGCATAAGAGGAAATAAGAGAGCCTGGAAAACCCTCTTAGCAAGACCTGACTTCACTTCTTAGACAACTTATGTGGTGTCACTTAATCTCTCTGAGACTGTTTTCTTACATAATAAACATGATAATATTTATGAAGGTGCATTCTAAACCATAATGCTCAAAAAAAACATCGATAGTATTGTACCAACTTTTACTTCTCATGTAGGCAGAAGATTCCTAGACTTTGTGCTACTTGGACCTAGGCAGTGGTGATTGACATGTATTTAAATGTTAAGCTAATCAATCAAGTCCATACTCTGGTCATTGGAAAGCTTTCACAATTTAACGCAAATACAGTATTTTATTTAAGTATAAAATAAATGTTTAAACAGCTTTTACTATTTTCTGTGTGTTAGCTAACTTATCTCTGTGTCGTTCAATATAATTGGACTAAATTGTTCTAACCTATTAAAACTGGATTCTGGTGTTGCATTGGCAGATACACTTAAAGTAAGCCTATCTTATTACAGATTAAAAAAAAAAAGGCAAATTCTAACCCTCCTGTATGTATCAAAGCTGAGAAAGTTTTTTTTTTTCCCCCCCTAATTGATTCTGTACAGATTTAGGAGTCTTTCATTCTTACCATGGAACTTGGATATAGAGTTTTTTTGTGGATACTTAATCATTAGATCATTGCTGTTTACTAGCATCCTCTAATTTGTTCAAATATTTGAAATATACTAATAGCCTTCTTTTGATATTCTCTTCTTTCTCTTTAATTCCCCTAACACCTAGTGTGTGATTTTACTGATATTAACAGGTAAAGAGAATAAAACTAGCTTAAAAAAATACACACACACGTGTGTGTGTGTGTGTGTGTGTATAGTGTGTTTTGTAATTTTGTAATGTAAAAAATTATCTTCTAAAATCAAGCTCTTTTTTGCTGGATAGAAATTAACCCTTTGGTAACCTGATTATTTTCTGCTTTGAATTTTGTGTTCATACCATGTATTTTCATTAATGGAAGCATTATGAATCATTGAGTGTGTCTGAATTTTTGGTAGGTAGTATGGATTTCTTTTTCCTTGCCTCCTCCCACAAGCCTACCTTAAGTGTTCATGGTACATATAAAGTACCACTAATTATACCCCGGAGTCCCCACAAGGTCTATTGGTACATATGTGTAACAAGTAAAAAATTTTCAGAAATTGTTTTTCCTACCAAAAATTCAGACACCTCATACATTACCCTGTAAAAACAGTAATTTGGGGCACATGCCCATTTCTTTAGTTTCGAACAGTCATAAAAATCTCTGCCTTGTGGCAGCACGCACTATCAGTGCTACAGCAGCTTCCCAATAAACCCCAGAGGCTGAAAAAGTTGATAGTCACTCTGTGTACTGTTGGTCATGAAAGGGTTAAGCTTTGGCTAAATGGCTTTGGTTGAACCTCCAGCAGTGTAATGAGGTTATTTCCATAGAATATCATATGGCTAGGGCTGTGATGTTAAAAGTTAGCTCTGACCTAGAAAGCAATGGTGGGAATCAGATTAATAAAGTTCCATAGAATTGTGTGCATACTTGTCTCATCTGAGTATCTGTAATTTTATTTTATAAACTCAGCATTTTGAAGATTCACTAAAGTTGCTTTTTTTCTCTTCAAAATTTCAGGCCCACCCAAAATACTTGAGTTGTATTGCAATCAGCTGTTTTTTCTTAGCTGCCAAGACTGTTGAGGAGGATGAGGTAATACTTTTCTTTAAAGACTAGTTATTTTTTGAAAATTTCTCTCAATTAACTTGGCTTTCTGTTTGTCAGAACAAAAATTGAAAATGCATTTATTCTTTTCTGTCCTCTCCCTCCTGCCCTCCCTTTGAATAGAGAATTCCAGTACTGAAGGTGTTGGCAAGAGACAGTTTCTGTGGATGTTCTTCTTCTGAAATTCTGAGAATGGAGAGAATTATTCTGGATAAATTGAATTGGGATCTTCACACAGCCACGCCATTGGATTTTCTCCACATTGTAAATATTACTGGTCTTTAAGTTTCTTACTGGAATATGTAGTCATGTTTCAGTTAACTTGAAAAGTAGACTGCCTGTTCATTTGTTTTGTCCTTATGTTTAGGAAAAGGAAAATTACTGAAATTTTTGTAGGTGTCATTGAGTCAATTTTGACTCATAGCCAAGGAAAAATTAGAATTTAGGGTATGTGTCAGATCACTGAGTTGTAGACTTTAGAAACTGAGTAATACCTAGGAGGTTATATCAATTTCTGTACATAATTTACTTAGCCATTTAAGTAAAACTGAAATGATGTTCCTGTGATTTTCAGTTCCATGCCATTGCAGTGTCAACTAGGCCTCAGTTACTCTTCAGTTTGCCCAAACTGAGCCCATCTCAGCATTTGGCAGCCCTTACCAAGCAACTCCTTCATTGTATGGCCTGCAACCAACTTCTGCAATTCAAAGGATCCATGCTTGCTCTGGCCATGATTAGTTTGGAAATGGAGAAACTCATTCCTGATTGGCTTCCTCTTACAATTGAACTGCTTCAGAAAGCACAGGTAGGTCTCCGTGTAATTAAATAATGTTCATTATAAGTTTATCTTTTTTTGCAATGCGTAGGATTACCAGCCGGTTATAAAACTAAGAGAATAATTTCAACCTTGTAATGGCAAATCATTCTTAAGGGGAGACAAGTAAAGTATTATACACTTTAAGTTTATAGGTTAAATGTTTTATAAGGCTTAGATAGTATTTTCTTGCTTCTTGAATTTTGAAAAATAAGATTCTTAATAATACATTCTCCTTTAGATTTGTTATAAAGAAACTTCTTAGCTACATCCGTTTCTTTATAGTACTTCGTACTTCATTCATTTTATAAAAGTTAAGTCGAATACTTATAAGAAATTGCTTGTTAGAAAAGCAGATAATTTATTATTGGCTAGAAAATGAAGTATTTGTACCAGACTTCGACAGGTGGAAGCTCTCTTTCTGAAAGAGGTTTTTTGACTGAAATGGTAGGTTGGTAGTGGTGTGCTGTTAGCAGCTACTTTGAGAATGCTTACTGGTTCTGTGCACGTCACCAGATAGAACTGATTGATGTAAGGTCTGCTTCTCTGCCAACGGAGTCCAGAAAAGACTCGTGAACTTACTTTCCCTTTATATTGCTCTGTTTATTCTCATTTAGCTATTAGTTACTCTGATATGTTTTATTGGATTTTAGAGAAAAGACTGTTAAATTCTGAGTTTAAAAACATTTTGCAGTAAAAAAAGAACTGTAGTTATTGAACTAATAGAACTTCTAAGAGAATGTTATCAAAGAATAATACTTGAATTTGTTGTAAGATAGTTATAACTGGTGATCTTATACATGTGAACTGTGAAAGTTAGTAGACATTTTAAGAAGTACCTCACTGCTGCCTCTCAACTTCTGAGAATTTCAAGTCGTAGTTTGAGAGAAGAGAAGGGCTGAGAGTCTTTTCGTTAAAAGAATGATAATCAGAACAGTATATTAGCTAGAGCTCTACCTGTGTAGTATAACACAAGCTATCTCTCCTTTATAAGAGTGATACATTCTTTTAATAGCATGTCTTAGATTGAAGTAATTTAGAGAAGTGTTTCTTTCCATTGAAATAAATACTGTACTACAGTATAGTTGTATAGTTGCATTTATAGTAGATATAGTAGATAGTTGCATTTAGTGAAAATTTTTAGACACTATCGTAAACCACCATACAAATTAATTGTGTGGCACAGAAAATTTACTTTGCCTACCTAGAGTGTTGGAAAGTGAAGTTTTCTTGGTTGGTTTTTGTAGCAAGGAAACATAGAAATAGTTACCATATCCAAATTGGAAAAGATAGTGATAAAAATAACAATAAATGTTCTCTTGACTCCCTGCAATTAGAATGAGCTCACTTTAAGTCATTTTAACAGAGATCCAGTAGAGAACTTCTTTGGTGTCTGCAGTTTTGGTAATACCAGTATTTGTGCTTATTTTGTTCCCTCCACTGGATCTCAACAAGGGTCAAACTATTTTGTTGTATTAGAACGAATTCATATTGTCCTAGACTAGAAAGGATTTGTTTTACTGTGTTGTTTTGAACACAACTGTGTTATTAATAGCTTAGGACTGAATGGTAGTGGAGTTCATATAGATGATGCTGGTTTGAGTGTTCATCAGTGTCCTTTCTAGCTCTAACATTTTCTGCCAGTCCTCACCTCTAAAATATAACTTCCTATTTACTTCTCTTACACAGAAAAATGAAGTAACATAAATCATTTTTCTTTCACTTAAATACATGTCATTTTTTCAGGATTCTGCATGTGGCCTTTATCATGTAGGGTTAGTGCTTTTACTTTTCTAGGTCACTAAGCATTACTCAGTTGCTAGAGAACAGTTCATTAAAACAGGTACTTTTAGAAATAATTTCAACATTATAACCTTCTTTCCACTTCCCAATTTCTTTTGGTATTGGCTAAGTTGCCTTAAAGAACTTTCAGGCCCCACATCCCCTCTTCTGCTTTTTTTCCACTATTTTTAGTATGGCTCAGCTCATTCTACATCCCTGAGGTACAAGACCTAGCCTAGCTTGATATTCAGGGATTATCTTAAGTATTATGTAATTTCTTTTTTAAGGGAGGAAGAAAAGATCCTAATACTAGTTAATAGTGTCTTACCCATAGGGTCTTATCTAAGCCAAACCCATTGCTGTGGAGATTCCAACTCATAGTGATCCTATAGGACAGAGTAGAACTGCCCCATAGGGTTTCCAAGGAGCAGCCAGTGGATTTCAGCTGCTGACCTTTTGGTTAGCTGCTGGAACTCTTAACTACTGTGCCACCAGGGCTCCTGCGTCTTATCTCGTGCCTTTAAACTAGGAAAAAATCAGTGAACAAGATAGTAGATACTAAAATCTGCCATTTTTATGTATTTAACAGTTTCAGGTATTTTTACATTTGTACTTACATGATGAGTAACACTAGCCTTTCATCTTTCTTTCCACTGATACTCTTCCTGGGTAACAGTGAAATATTTAGAGATAAAAATAATCTTGTGACCAAATATATTCTTGTGGAGTGTGGTATTTTCCTTTATTTTCTCTGGTATTGCAAACAGTCATGCTAGGTGCTGCAGGTTATATAGGGATGAATAAGACTTGGTTAAGAAATGTCCAGAGATATCTACAAAACAGAGCAGTGCCCCAAGACTGGAAAGAAGTGATCCCTGACAGTTAAATGGTCAAGATAGTCTTCCTGGAGGTGGTGGCATTAAGCCTGGCCTGGAAGGAATGAGTAATATAATTTCCATAGGTAGAAAGAGGATGAATGAGGGTAAAGTAAGAAAAGGCAAGATTTGTGCAGAAGAGAGAACAAGAACAAGCCTGTTTGGCAGGAAGATAAAGTACAAATTAGGGTATGATAGGAAATAAGGCTGGAAAAGTAGGTTGAGGTCAGATTGTGGGGAGCCAATACCAAGGTAAGGAGTTTAGCTTATTGTGATAGCGATTGGAGTGCCACTGAAAAAATCTGAGTAGGAGAGAAATACATGTTGCCACAGGAAGATTATTTGACTAGTCCTGTAATTATAGAGAAAGTTAAGCAGAGAGACTAATTATAAAAACTGATTACTACAAATCAGATTTGGAAGACTTTCCATGTGTAGTCATTGTGCTAGAAACTTAACAGATAAAAAGATGAATATGATATAATCCCTACCCCATTCTATCATGGAAAGGTTCAATGGTTAAACAGATTATTCTAATAAAATATGATAAGTATAATGACAAGTTGATGTGGAAACAGATGACTCTGGAATTTGGTGTGTGGTGAGGTGCGGGGAGAAGAGGGGTAGTCAGTGATGACTCCAGAAAGGATTGATAACCTGAACTGAATCCTGAAGGATATGAAGGAATTAGTGAAACTCCCAAATTAAAACATTTAGCAAAAATATTTGTTCCTGGTGTTGTCGAGTCTGTTTTCTACAAAAATACAGCTTGTCAAACATTCTTATTATAAAAACAAAAAAAATTCTTCTAAATTCTTAGCCAGACAGCCTTCCCCATCCCGGATTTAAATTTTTTCTTGCCTCTGGCTGCTTGCTTTTAATGCTTATCTGTACCCTAATCTCCATTGAAGAGATTAGAAGAGGCAAAGAGGGAGGGAAGATGGGCAGATTGAACAAAAGCAGACATTGGATATAAAGCACTGAACCAAAGAGAATACTGTAGTTTCTGCTTTCATGGGGATGTCCAGCATATATTTCCAAATACAGAGTTCAAGTGCTGAGATTTACAGAGATTTATATTAGATGTACAGATTAATAAGTTGGCTGGAGGAATAGATGAGTTTGAGGTAGAAGATGTTGGAAGAGAAAAGAAAGGTGAGGGAACGGAGTTTTAGAGGGCACACAGAGAAGAAGTAGGCAGCAAAGATGACAGAGAAGCCTATGTTAATTATCAACTTTGTGCTTCTTTTTCTCCCCCCATGGCCCAGATGGATAGCTCTCAGTTGATCCACTGTCGGGAGCTTGTGGCACATCACCTTTCTACTCTGCAGTCTTCCCTGCCTCTAAATTCCGTTTACGTCTACCGTCCCCTAAAGCACACCCTGGTGACCTGTGACAAAGGAGCGTTCAGATTACATTCCTCCTCTGTCCCAGGCGCAGATTTCTACAAGGACAGCAGCAAACCAGAAGTGCCACTCAGAGGTACAGCAGCCTCCTACCATCATCTCCCAGCTGCCAGTGGGTGCAAGCATACCTCTGCTAAACGCAAAGTAGAGGAAATGGAAGTGGATGACTTCTATGATGGAATCAAACGGCTCTATAATGAAGACAGTGCTTCAGAAAATGTGGGTTCTGTGTGTGGCACTGATTTATCAAGGCAAGAGGGACATGCTTCCCCTTGTCCACCTTTGCAACCTGTTTCTGTCATGTAGTTTGAACAGGTGTTACCTCCAGGTGCAAAACTAAGGTAGACTACTCTGGGAATGAGAACATGTAAAACCAGGAAAGGATATATAAGGGATATATACCTTACCAGGCTGAATTGAAGTGAGCCAGGAAAAAAAAAAAAACCCTTGTTTACTATGTATCAAAAGATCCAAAATTAAGGGGGGAAAAAAAAAGCAAAAAATACCTTTGTAGTGTTCGTCAGTTCCACTGTTTTCTCTGCTAAAATGTAGTGTAACTTGCCCCATGTCAAAAATTCACACTTAATGTTTAAAAAAGTTCCAGAATTTATAACTAGCAAACCCTGTCCCCGGCATCCTGGTAATTTTCCTCTTCTTTTGCTTGCTTCTTCATTGAATACATAATGAATTTTATGCATGTTAATCT